AACATATTCACTATTAACTAATGAAATTTCTATTGTTAATTAGCTTTGGTTCCAAAATCTATACTATATTCCTTGTATTTGTCACACTTACTGTTCAGAGCCAAGTTCTCAAGATGCATATTAGCCAACAAATCTTCTATTCTGACACAAGCTATGTAAAGTAATTGTACATTACAAATAATAAGCCCCTCAGTTAATGATATTCAACTTGATCAAAGTAAAATATTTTTGTAATCTCAGTCAGAAACTATTGTAATATTGTCAATAATAACCAGATATACAAACAGAAATATCATATTTTTAGTAAATCATAAACTAAATAGCATTTTCAGTTATTTACCATAGTTCTTAATCCAAACTATAAAATTTCTACAGAAACATAATCAAATATGCTTATTAAAAAGATACATCAAAACTAAAACTTGCAAATTATAAAAAAAATTACCTCTACACTTATTGTTGACCCTCTTAAGTTGTAATTGTTCAATTCTTTAATAGCTGTATCTGCCTCTTCTGGTGAGCTCATATGCTATAAAAGTACATAAATCACTTTTTAATACCTCAGTTTCATGTTCAGCCATCTATCATAACATGATTTACCTTTTAAACAGATGATAGAGCAGAAATCCTAATATTAATAGAAGTACAGGTGCACACAATTACATCTCTGTGAAAACATACCATAGCACAGCTTTATTTATAAATACCAATCTGTGAAAATGCACCTTAGTATACAGTTTCATTCACAATTACCATTCTGTGGAAACATAGCATACAGCTTCACACATAATTACCATTCAATGAAAACATATAGCACAGTTTTATTCACAATTACCATTCTGTGGAAACATAGCATACAGCTTCACACATAATTACCATTCAATGAAAACATATAGCACAGTTTATTCATAATTACCATTCTGTGGAAACACACAGCATACAGCTTCACACATAATTACCATTCAATGAAATCATACCATAGCACAGTTTTATTCATAATTACCATTCTGTGGAAACACAACACAGCATACAGCTTCACACATAATTACCATTCAATGAAAACATATCATAGCAGAGTTTTATTCATAATTATCATTCTGTGGAAACACAACACAGCATACAGCTTCACACATAATTACCATTCAATGAAAACATATCATAGCAGAGTTTTATTCATAATCTCCATTCTGTGACAATGCAACACAGCTTCACACATAATTACCATTCTGTGGAAACACAACACAGCATACAGCTTCACACATAATTACCATTCAATGAAATCTTACCATAGCACAGTTTTATTCATAATTAACATTCTTTGGGAAAAACTTTAGCATACAGTTTCATTCATTTATTTTAGGACTGACTGAATATACAAAATGAAATTTCTAATCATGAAGAAAACACTGAAATTCTATATTGAAAGGAAGTATTTTTAGTATCAATTGATACTTCAACAAATTAACTTGTACACCTCTACAAACAAATCAACTATGATTTGTTTTTATACCATTCATGACTTGTCTGGTTACATTTTGCATTATATTTATATAACAATAACTATAATGTGTAAGAAAATGTAAGAATATGAACTAAATGTAGTAACAGAGCATCATTACTTTGTTATTATGTATTGACAACAGACAACTGAAAATTTTAGCTCTTTCCTGAAAATAGTTCTTCTGTAACCTAGATATGTAATAATTATTTTAAGGAGGCAAAGATGCTAGACATTTGGCAATAATGTTTTCATGCATTCAGCTTTTCATTTTGCTACTTCCTTTACAATAATTCAAAATTAAAGTATTTCAATTACACAAATGCATTCAAACAATCCAAAACTGAACTCAGTCACAAAAATATTAATCTTTTAGCTTCTTACTTAGGATAATATTCTTTCTATTAGACAACAGTCACATACTACCAAACTCTCAAGAAAACAAACTTCATATTTGAATGAAAAAACTTAAGAGGTATCAGAAATGAAGTAAACATATTTTTAGTTTTAACAGAATCAGTAAAAAAAGTATTAAACCATATCCAAACAGTAAAGCACCTTCCAGGTAAAAGTATTAAGTGTATTAAACCCTATCTACACAGAACAGTATCTTTTAGGTAAAAGTATTACAAATATTAAACCCTATCCAGAGAGGACAGCACCTTTCAGGCAAAATTATTAAATCCTATCCAGACAAGAAAGTACTTTTCAGGTAAAATTATTAAATCCTGTCCAGACAGGAAAGTACTTTTCAGGTAAAAGTATAGTGTATTAAACCCTATCCAGACAGGAAAGTACTTTTCAGGGAAGAGTATAGTGTATTAAACCCTATCCAGACATGGCAGCATGTTTCAAGTAATAGTATTAGAAATATCAAACCCTATCTGAAAATGACAGCACCTTTAAACTGTAAATTAAATGTCAAAGTTTAATTTAAAATAGTAATTTTTACTGTATTTTTTTTCTCTTTAATTCAACAATAATTTGTCATTTCATAACAATTGTTTAGTGCAGTTAACAATGAAAAAAGAAATGTTATAACTTTCATTTCTTAATTATTGTGCAGTTCTGAGCAATTTTGCCTGTAAACATCACATTTATCAATTATAAACAATTTTTCTTTCCATCTGAAAGTAAATATTTAATTTTTCTAAAAACTATCATCCCTTCAGAATATAATTATTATTGGATTTGTTGCTTTCTAATGGTGAAATAGTGATTAAATTTCTCAAACTCAAAATTCTCAACTTTTTCATTTTTGAAAGCAGAAAAGGAAGTAAATATTCAACATTCAATCAAATATAGTGTTTTTTTTCTATGCAGATCAACACTGGTACACTTCTCAAATTGTTGTCTCTAAAACTCTAAAATTGTATTATTGTACTAATCCAAAGTGTCTTTGTTAGTGGGTTCTTTTTAAATTACCTGAACATAACAATTTAAAGTCCAGTCCACATAAACAACAATAAATTAGTTTATTTCTCCTTTAACCCTTTCCAGATGGGTCACGGTTGAAAGGCCATGTCACCAAGTTTGTTAACTCGCATTAAAAATTTTATTGAACTACCATTTCATGAATTTATGTCAATAAGTTTGGTATCAAACTGTAGATTATGATTCAAATTTTAGTGCTATACCTTACTTAATTTTAAAGTAAATATTTAAAAAAAACAGTTAAATATCATTTTTTGTGTGTCATGTGGTATACTGAATGCAGCACTGGTTCAAATTAGATGTCAAAATACTAAGTCTACAGTTTCTACGAATTAGGAACTAAAATAAGAGCCTCTTATATTTTCAATTTGTCAAAATATCATCCATGTACTGAATCAAACAGTGGCACCCCACCCACCTCTCTCCATTTTTGGAAATGCCCCCTTATATACACTTACTGCTATATATGACATGAATAACCAATCAGAAGCCCAGAATGCCCCCCTAGTGGTTTTCTCAGCCTTTCTAACCTTCCTTCTGCCATTTCTTTCTTTTGAAAGAAGATTTCAATGAAGTAGGTCTTTAGTCTCCTCGAAATTTCATATTTTTTTAGACCCAAATAAAGCTTAGTTACTAATCTTGATAAATCATAGTAGAATTCTATGGTATTGATGTAGTAATTTAT